GAACACCCTTTTCTCATCCACCATGACTGTCCCCTGTGTACAAAGCCAGCTCCATAAAGACATGGTGTGACCAGTTTGGTGAACACCCTTTTCTCATCCACCATGACTGTCCCCTTTGTACAAAGCCAGCTCCATAAAGACATGGTGTGACCAGTTTGGTGTGGAGGAACTATGCTGTGTGAGGCAATAACTTCACAACAAGATATAGAATGACTAACACAAGACTTTGATAGAATTGAAGGGTGGGAGATGGAAGATGAGATTCAATATTGAAATAAATAAAGTTATGCACTTGGGAGCTAGGAATGAGCATGCAAAATGCTCTTTAGAAGGTGCTCCTCTGAGGAAGTTGGGAATGGAGAAAGATAAGGGGGTCCTTTTAGACCACAGACTCAGCAATAGCATGCAGTGCCGAGCTGCAGCTAGTTAGACCCTAATCTGCATTAAAAGAGGATTTATTCAAGAGATACGACTGTTATTCTACCACTTTATAAAACACTGGTTCAGCCTCATCTTGAGCATGCCGTTCAGTTTTGGTCACCAGTCCTCAGGAAGGATGTATTTGAACTAGAGAGAGTCTCTAGTGAACTAGAGAGTACCCTGAGTTCCCTGTTTTCCTTAGAGAAGAGTCCCCTAAGAGGAGATATGATTGCAATATACAAATAATTTCATGTGGACTTTAGTATAAACTGTTCAATCTAAGGACTCTGAAGAAGACGTGTGGCCACCACATGAAGGTGTACAAGAAGCGTTGTAATCTTAAACTGCGTCCACAGTTAGTGGTTTCAGCCGAAAGCATTGATAGCCTCAGGGGTATATGAACCAATAGCAACATGTACACACACATATACATACATACATTCACTGAGTGGCCAGATTATTATGCCCCCCTCCCCCCCCCATCAGTACTTCGTTGGGCCGCCTGGTGACTCCACGAGATGATGAAAGGTGATGCGAGGAATCTGACACGGCACTGTTACCCTTCTGTTGTCTTGTACCAGTCTTGCCCCTCCCCCGTTCTGCCCTAACATTGACTAGTCGCTGACGGCCAGAATTCGCACGTTCAGACCCAGATTTCCGGCTGACAGTCCGGTCTGTAAACACTTTAACAATGAGCCGCTCCTGAACATGTAACGAATTCTGCTGTTTAGCTGATACTCGCTCCATGGCTCCGAGCGCCAACAATCATCCCGCGTTCCAAGGCTGTTACATCGCGTTGTTTCCCCGAATCTTCCCAATCACTTCTACTGTCGTGGCAACCAACCCGCTTCCCTATTTATAATGGTCCGGCCCTCTAGCAACTTCAGCGCCAAATTATAGCTAATCTGCCTACAAACGTCAGGTGGTCATAATAATCCGGCCACTCAGTGTATATAATAATCCGGCCACTCGGTGTATATAATAATCCGGCCACTCGGTGTATATAATAATCCGGCCACTCAGTGTATATAATAATCCGGCCACTCGGTGTATATAATAATCCGGCCACTCCGTGTATATAATAATCCGGCCACTCGGTGTATATAATAATCCGGCCACTCAGTGTGAACCATACTGATCCCCCAAATCCAAGTCAGGTCTTCTTATCCAACCTGACCTCATGAATGATATTTTGGCTGAATGGACTCAAACCCCCACAGACGCTCTCTAAAATCTCAGAGAAAAACCTTCCCAGAAGGGCGGAGGGCTGCAATAGCTGCAAAGGGGCCCAACTTCATATTAATCCCTAATGTTTTTCCAGTGTCTCTCATTGGCCCGTTGGAGATCACATGGCTCCCAGAAATCTTCTTGGAAACCGGATCGCCAAAAACAACACAGAAATTCCGATTTGGTTCGGGACGTCTGAATTCATTACATTCGAGTTAAAATCTTTTGGCTTCCAATATTCGGGATAAGCTCTCCTTCCTTGTCAAATTTAGCTGGTTCCATTTCAAAGTCTTGGCATACCATTAGATAGATTTCTCCATTTACTCCAATATGTACTACTGGGGTGTGAAATGGCGCTCTCCTACATACAAATAATTCAAAGTACACGCCCACTAAACTTGTTTTACTTTTCCATTTCAAAGTTAGCTCAGCAAATGTCTATAGTAAAATCGTAAACTTTTAAATTGCTCGAGTGCAAACAACAACCTCGTGTTATGAACATTCTGTGTTTCCATTCTGTGCAATGAGTGGGCACACCTTTGTTTTTGTGTGCACTGCACAAAACCTCTAGCATTGTTCCAGGTTCAGGCGTAGCAACCCTCGAATGTGCATTTGTAGGTATTGATAAAATTCCTCGGGCATGGAGTGGACTCCGGGTATCGGTAGAGAATTGTCGTAATAGTGGTGAAGGATCGGAACGCCATCCAAACCTTGAGAAAAGGGCCAGAAGCCGTAGAGGGTCACCTTATCGCAAACTTCAATGGCTGCGCTCACCACCATAAGGCCACTAGACAGCCGCTTAAACTTGATTCCCATCTGTTTCCAGTAAGCGGTCAGGTTCCTGAGGTAGTCCGGGTTGAAGAAGACAACTCTGCTGTCCAAGTCAAAGTCCTCCATGGTGTACAGTACCCGAAGAGAGACATCTGTGTTCTGCAAGTAGGAGAACGCTGGGAGAATGATCAAAGTAGTGCCATACTCCTTCATCAATGTGGTGAATGGTTTCCGCTTGTCCAAGAGACTGCTGAACCTAATGAAGGAGATATAATTAGGTTTATCCAAAGTGAGACTACATGTTCACAACCCCTGTAGCTGATTCTTACGGGATCACACAGTTTCTCAGGAAACCGGAGTTAGCCTGTGTGGCCGGACTGCTGGGCTGGCACCTGCGCATTGTCCTCCACAGAGGATTGTGCGCGGCCTCGTGCCTCTACGCACGCACGGACGTGCACACGCGCCCATTCCTACTGATGGCGCCAACAGGGCTATTTATGGCTGAGACGCCGTGACCTCCCTGCTGACTGATCTTCAGCTTTACCCCTGCTCCTGAAACCTGTGAACCTGTTTTGATCTCCTGCTACCGACCTGGCCTTCTTGACCGTGCTCCTGTTCTCTGCTACCATGACCTCGGCTTGTTCTTTGACTACTCTCCTGTCTGCTCCCTGGATACCTCGCTGCCTGCAAGTTACTGACCCGGCCGGTCACTGATTACGTCCTCCCTGTTGATTGTGTACCTCGCTGCCAGATTGTTGCTGACCCGGCTTGTCTCCACCCTGCTTCCAGGATCCTGCATTAGCTACCTGCATCCTGCTAAGGGACCCCCAAAACCTGCTCGCAGCTCTGACAGGAGTCGCAACCTACCGGCACTTGTGCCCCTCCTTGTCCTCACGCACCTGTTCCCACTATCCAGGGGTGTTTGGACTGGAGCAGCAAGAGAGGCCGCCCCTCGTCATCTCAGGATCCCCCTAAGGTACGTGACACAGTTAATTGATCTAGAACATTTCATAAGGTGAGGTGAGGTTTGCTTATTCACAATATAATAAAAAACTACCTAAGTGGCCCCTCAACAGTGGATGTAGTGGTGGTTGAAATCAGTACCTTGCATCACTGGGTTTTCTAAGCCTAAACTTCAGCAGGGCTACATCTACATGGAGTCTGCATCTTCTATTTGTTTGTTCGAGACTCCTATGGATGATCAAGGTCCCTCTCACCAACCAAAGAATACTGGCAGGATAAAGTGGGCCTAGCATCAGTAATTTTTTTCATGCTCAGTGTATATATGTTCAGTAATTTGTATTTCTCTTACAGACATGGCCGGGCCCATAGGTGTCTCTAGACCATGACTGGTGTCCCGTAACAGTCCAAATCACCCTGACAGTCAGAGTTACTTTCTCTGGCTTATGCAGGCAGCACCTGGTGGAGGGATATCCATCCCAATGCTGCCTACAGACTCTGCATACTCATTTGTACTTGGCCTATGTCCCACCTAGCTTTTGGCAATCAGTGACATCACTGGTTGCCAGGAGCTGAGCGGGATCCTCAGGCCGGCGTCCTACCCCTGGCAACCAGTGACTTCAGTGAGATGGGCGGCATGCGGGACGTGTGCACCACCAGGACACCGGCCATAGCGCCTTTAACATGTTCCCCCAAAGCACCACTCCCCCCCCCCCACCC